TTAACTCAGAGTTCTTCAATGTCCAGAAATACATTTGTGGTTCAGCCCAGCACTATTAATGAGGCCTTTGGCGGGTCGAAACAGCGCTGTATGGTGTTGGATCACGATACAGTTTCTTTCAGGATCTGTTTTCAACTCCTCATCTTGCAATGAAAGTTGATGTGCTTAGCTTTGCAACGGTATACCTTAGACCCTGGTGGCGTCATCGTGAGGGGTGATGTCATTCTCTTTACTCACATCTCACATTGTTTACTTCCTTTCTAACCACAAGATTCATAAGACTTGCTAATACAGTTTACTGTAAGATTTTTACTATAACACGTTTCCAAAACCACAACACGTGTTTTGCTACACAATAATATCCTCAAGAAAGAAGGATGATGGTCATGAATGAAAATATTGGAAATCTTGAAGGAAAAACTATTAGTGAGTTTCAGTATGGGTTTTCATCAAGTGTCGGCCAGTTCAATTTAATCACCCTTGAAAAATTNTTGCAATTCTAAATACAACTTACTAGTGAAACGTCAGAAAGGAATTCCAAATATCGACGGTTTCCCAAATTTTTTCAGGTATTCTTCATGATTTGTATTTTTTTTATGATTTTTTTTTTCAAATTACTATATTATAGTACCGACATATTCATTGAAATTTTGATCGACACGATGCATTTATGAAATAGTTTCATAGCAAGCAATGAAAACCGAAACCAATTATATCAAAAAAATCAGTATCCAGATGATACTTCCAATGGTTTAGGAAGACATAAATATTTTACTTTAACTGTTTCGTTTGAATGAGTGGCTCTTCAACAGCAACAGCTGGAGAATCGTGTCCATAATTCGGTCCAAAAATTGTTCAATTCAAATTAGCCGCAACCCTCCACTCCTCGACAATAACCCTTCATCACCAGACCAGTTTGCCCCCAGGGGGCCCCTCTTATTATTTTTTCGGTCAATTTGGGGGAGGATTAGAACCGGGAAAAAATTTCTGAACGATCCATACACTACACCCTTCAAGGTCACATCACCTTGACTTCACCAAACAACAACCAATAAAAAAGCAATTAATACGTCATAGTGGTGGGGGGAGGCTTAGAACCGGCTCAAATCTCCTACTCNAAGAATAATGGCAAATCAATATTATTCTTCGTGATGATTTTACACTGTTTTTTTTTCCATTTGCACACTACATCTTTATACTTCCCCCATACGGCACACCTCCTCTTTCATTTCAACTCACCACAGACGAGAAATTGTGGCTAAATATTCCGGCTCCATCAACCAACCCTACATTAATGGAAATCAATCGAAGGGGGTAAAAATAGGGTAGTACAAAGCTATTAGAGTCCCTCTGGTTCAATGTTTCGGAAATTGGTCCGGAAATGTTGCAATGACTTCGTCTGATGTTCTTGTATAATTTTGGGTATTAATTTTTTCGCGTGTTTCTCGAACGTTCTTTAATTGAAGTCGTTTCAGGAAATCAACTTGCTTCAGAGAATAGTTCATTTCGCTGTGGTTAAAATTTATGTGCTAAGGAAATGAGGGTGAAAATTTGCATTATGAAATTCAACCGATGAACAGCAATTTTTTTAAATACACATTTCCTATTCGTAATGAAAGGAAAGTTCTCAACTACCTTTCTGGTATAATGATGACTCATTCAGTAGAGAATAAGTATATAGTTGGCCATAATATCGGCAAAAATTCTTCTATGACCACTAACAGTAAATAATCCATGGAAGTTTTCGTTCGATATTAGATGTTTGTAACTCTTTTTTTTTGTCACAGTGCACAGAAATTTTAATCTTTTTATCTCTTTCGAATGAAGAGATATCACTACAAATTGTTGAACAATGTCCTCCATCAATGAATTAAAAAATTATCCAACAAATTTTCATAAGGTTGAACTATGATGATTTACCAACACATACTCGGGGAAGAGGTTCTACGCTTGCGAATTTGGGGAGTTTTCAACATAACGGATGCCTCATTCATTCACGATGTAACAAAACGATCATGAAATTACTAGAATGCTGTGTACCAAACTGCTATTTCCAACTGAAGGAGGAATTCTTTACGCAAGATGAGACACTGCCAGTGGGATCGCTACTTTTACCGTTGAAAGCCAACATATATGGAGTGGTTTGAATCGTAAGAAATGAAAGTTTTTCCATCACTTTTACAACGAAGAAGGAAGGCCACAACGAATTGCCATTCTTAGATGTACTGGTTAAGAAGACCGATACTGAGTGGGAATCATCTGTATACCGAAAATCCACTCACATAGAACAGTATCTGAATCACGAATCCAACCACCATCAATCTACCGAAAGAAAAATTATCAAGACTTTAGTGGATCGTGCTTTTGGGCTCTGATGAAGCACTAATATAAATATTATAGTTATCGAACAAAATGGGTTTTTTACCATTAAATACAATGTTACATTCTTGAATATTCAAATTCAATTTGTTCTGCAAGCACCAATCATGAACCAACGCGAAACCAGATTGCAAATATTGATACTCTGAAATATATTCAGTTTTACTGCGAAGCTTTTATAAAGATAGTGAATAACAAGAGGCCTAGGTTAAAACTCTGTGACACCTGTGAGCCGAAAAATAATTAGGAGATTTGAAAGACTTATATTCAACAACATTGAATTTGATCATTATTACTCCTTGGTCAAAGAAGAAACGGACTGGTTTAAGTTTGACGATAGTCATGTCACGAAGTGTTCTGGCGATGCATTGAATTTATTGGAGCTTCTGGAGACACCCTACATTTTGTTTTATTTGAAGTAAAAATTTCGAGATTCTTAGTTAGGAAGTCATAATCTCGAGTATACTTCTCTACATTAAAGTCGAAATTTTGAGTTTTGAGTCTTGATTTCGAAATTACGAGATTGAAGTGAAAATTTCGAAATTAAAATTGGAATTTCGACATTCAAAATCGTGATTTCCAAAAACCAAATAATAAAGATACGTAGTATTTCTGCGCTTCCGTAGAAATTACCAAAAATGTTCATATTCACCGAAATTATTTCAACTTTCAACCATACATCGCTTTCTTCCTTATGATATATTTTTCATATTTATTAGTTTGCTTCATTTGAGTTCTGCATAATTCTATCTATGAAATATGTTATTCCCAATGGGAAACTATTGAGAAAATGAGTGAGATATAAGAATAATGACAAATCAATATTATTCTTCGTGATGATTTTACACTGTTTTTTTTTTTTCATTTGCACACTACATCTTTATACTTCCCCCATACGGCACACCTCCTCTTTCATTTCAATTCACCACAGACGAGAAATTGTGGCTAAATATTCCGGCTCCATCAGCCAACCCTACATTAATGGAAATCAATCGAAGGGGGTAAAAATAGGGTAGTACAAAGCTATTAGAGTCCCTCTGGTTCAATGTTTCGGAAATTGGTCCGGAAATGTTGCAATGACTTCGTCTGATGTTCTTGTATAATTTTGCGTATTAATTTTTTGGCGTGTTTCTCGAACGTTCTTTAATTGAAGTCGTTTCAGGAAATCAACTTGCTTCAGAGAATAGTTCATTTCGCTGTGGTTAAAATTTATGTGCTAAGGAAATGAGGGTGAAAATTTGCATTATGAAATTCAACCGATGAACAGCAATTTTTTTAAATACACATTTCCTATTCGTAATGAAAGGAAAGTTCTCAACTACCTTTCTGGTATAATGATGACTCATTCAGTAGAGAATAAGTATATAGTTGGCCATAATATCGGCAAAAATTCTTCTATGACCACTAACAGTAAATAATCCATGGAAGTTTTCGTTCGATATTAGATGTTTGTAACTCTTTTTTTTTGTCACAGTGCACAGAAATTTTAATCTCTTTATCTCTTTCGAATGAAGAGATATCACTACAAATTGTTGAACAATGTCCTCCATCAATAAATTAAAAAATTATCCAACAAATTTTCATAAGGTTGAACTATGATGATTTACCAACACATAATCGGGGAAGAGGTTCTACGCTTGCGAATTTGGGGAGTTTTCAACATAACGGATGCCTCATTCATTCACGATGTAACAAAACGATCATGAAATTACTAGAATGCTGTGTACCAAACTGCTATTTCCAACTGAAGGAGGAATTCTTTACGCAAGATGAGACACTGCCAGTGGGATCGCTACTTTTACCGTTGAAAGCCAACATATATGGAGTGGTTTGAATCGTAAGAAATGAAAGTTTNTTATTTTATTTTTATCGTTGTTTTAAATTCATAACTTAATCAATTCAACAAACTGTTTCTGTCAAACAAATATAACTTGTATTATGTATTGAGGAAGAATATAATGGAAAAAGTTCTGTAGAAGTAATGAAAATAATTATGTGTCATTATTTTATTAACGAGCAAAACTGATTCACAATTTAAATGGAGTTGGCATTAAACCTTGAAATTCAAAAAATTACCACACATATTGTACTGAAGTTGCATGTTATTCCGAAATGTTTGTACCATTGCGATATGAGCTCGTTTGTGAATTACCGAACAGAATTGTTGGTGCTTTCATATATTTGTCGTACTGGATGCCGGGCCACCTCATATATTTCGGTTCATGTATATTTATTCAATCGAAATCAACTATCATTTTTTCCAACTGCTATTTCCTGTGGAACTTCCATTCTCAGATTGGTTTTGGTAATTTTATCAATTGTTTCTTATTGTAATATATTGAGTACATAAACTGTAACATCCTGAAAATAATTTATTGAAATGAATAATCAGAGCCTTCGTGAAATTTTCTTTAACGATGAATAATTTCCAAGTTCAACCTTTCCACATTTCGGAAAGCCATTTCAGGAGCATAAAATCTGTTAGCAGTAATTGTTTGCACTTCAGATCAAAAATGTCTGAATACAAACTTTAATTCGAATTCGAGTTTCCTGTGATTCATTTGGAAACTTGTGCAAAATTTCCTAAACTTTTGTTTACTGAATGGAGAAATTAAACACTGTTGCCTCTATTCGATTTAATTAAACTGATACCTCGTTAATACATGATTGCAGTGACATTTCCAATTAGGATGAACTCGTTCAATCACGGAAGAAAGTATTTCTGTAAAAAAAATTGTTAGCTTTGGGTACTTGTCCAAATTCAGACTCACCTCCGGATTGCAGAAGTACATGCATTTTGATAACTCGTATGCTGCAATGCATTTATCATCAAGTGTAACGGCTAAAAAACGATAGATACGTGTTACTTTATCAAATATGAAGCATGACAACAAATTCTTTAGTTGAAAAAATATATTACTGAAATTTTAGGTACCTAATATATATATTTTTTCAGCTGAAACTATGAATATGTATTCAGGACACGTGTACCAACATTGAAAATTAAAAAATCGCCAATCAAACGTACTTAGCTCGCAAAATTTGAACATTCTCCTCATTTTCTGAACGGATTCTGTTTCAAACCTTCGGTGTAAAATGGATAATTTACCTAATCGTTTGTAACTTTTGCCCCACCTGTTATTCTTAAAATAGTTTTCAATTGGTTTAAACAATTCATCATTAGCGAATAACTTTTGGTGGAGACGCATGAGACCTATTGTCGCATGGAAGTTGTGCATATGAAAGAAGAAGATTTTGTACATGATTCCCGTGGGTTGGGCTACCTATCGGGCGCGTCCTTAGGTGGCGGGGTCGCTGGACTCCCTATCAGTGACAGAAATAAGTAGGCTGAGAGGAACTGAAACTCCCTGAAAGCCTTTGCAAAACATGCCACCGTGGACCAGCCTACCCAAGCTAAGGTGTAAGGAATCGTGCCGACAGCTGAATGGCCGCAGGGTAATATGAGGTCACGAACGATCCCCTTGAGGAACTGGGCGAAACCTCATTGTAATCAGCCTACCTCTGGCAATGTGGGGCTCTGCCAGAGGTGACCAACTCTTCCCTTGCTACTCGTGGGAAACATATGAATGAAACAACAGAAAAAACACAAACCAATCCCAAGGCTGGACAGAAGTGCCTCAATCTAAGGCGGTGGCTGTGGATTAATAGAAATGTTCACCCCAATATACCGCTTGGAATGAGGCTGGACATAGCAGATTACCTCCAACAGCAAGGGCACTTCCTGCGGCAGGCGCCAAGAGTTCCAATTTGAATAAAGTCAAGGAACCGGGTGCCCCTGCAGGAAATCCCCCTCACTTGTGCACCTCCACGGAGGGAACCCCAAGAAGGTTGAATGAATAAGCCACGCAATGACAGTAATATCGCTGCACCTTTCAAAACCTTCGCGGAGGCCACCGTGAGACACCTCAAGGTTGCCAAAAAGAGTGTGTGTTCGGCGAGTCTTGGCCTACACCTGCCAATATAAAGGAGATGTTTCTTAGAGACTTGTTCACCTTCCTGGAAAGGACAGGATGGACAATGACCTAGGAGGACAACTCTTCGGGAGGATGTACAATGGGTCACATGTGGTCGAAGTGCTGTGAGTCTACACCCACCCTCCATACTCTACAGATACAAGATACCAGATTGTACATGATCTCAAACAATTTAGAACTGAATAATTCACCTTCAATGACTATATAGTAGACAATGGAAGTCCGAACTGGTGTAACTTTTTGTAGCTGGTCACTCACGCTAGTGAAACGTCAGAAAGGAATTCCAAATATCGACGGTTTCCCAAATTTTTTCAGGTATTCNGTGTATAAAATATTGTTGTGAATGAACAGTATGCCAAACCGCATTATTGAATGGTCTCCACGAAAACTAGATTTGTTGCCCCTTGATTTCATGTGTGAGAAGACCTGAGAAGTGAAGTCTACGGAACGCAATCCGCGTCTTGAGATTTACATATGAATAATATAAAGTCAAATGATTATATTATTTTCGGAGTGTACGAGAACTTTTGAAATAGATTACGCCCAAGTTCCTGGATATTCGTGAATTCCTGGTTTGGAAATTTTTTCAGTGAAGTTGGACAGACTCCTATATTAATTTTGAATTTCATCATAAACATCCTGTATAAAATTTATAATTTGGTTTTGATAAAATGTTACACCAGTTCGCACAAACAATTTCACATTCGTGAAGCAAAATATGAACTCATTTTGCTCTAAACGTACCAGCATCTTTACATTTTTCCATACATATCTCCGTCGGTCCTTTGAAACTTTCTGGTAGCTGTTTTACTTGAGCCATAGCAGATTCGTGATTGAAAGTATTATCTGGGTTCATCTGGAATGTAAAGGAACAAATAGAATATCAGCAACAACGAAAATGATACCTGCGTGAAACGAACATTTTACTCACCAATCTGTACATATTCAGGGCACAATACATATAACACTGAAAAAAATTATTAAATTTATTTTTTGGAAGCGAATTTCAAAAATAACATGATATAAAATATTGAATGAATGTCGAATTTGATCCACAAGAAATCGAAAATAATTCTAACAAAAGGATGAATTGAAAGTTAACCAATTGAAAATTCAATGTTGTTATAGCTTCCTAAGTTCAAATATTCCAAAAGCTATTGAAGTACCAACAATGTACTGTAAAAATTTTACAGACATGTATCCATAGTGGATATTAATGTAAAATGACGAAGGTTTTGAACCGTTCACAACGTTACAACTGTTCAATTCATCATTTGTTCTGATCGGTGTTATTGAAAAAAGTGAAACAAAATATCCACATCATCAGATAATCATAATTATTGAAGAGTATCACCAGTTTTTGATTCACCCTGTAGGAATTCATTAATCGACTATGAAAATCCTGTTTTGAAGGTGCTTCGAAATCCCTGAAAGAACAAATAATTTATTTATACATTTATTTATTTATTTGTAATACAATACTCTACAGGGCATTACCCAATTTCAGAGCAGGAAATGACAGAGTGAAATAAATATATCACAAATAAGTGATTACAAACATTACAAACAACACGAACAAGTGACTATAAAGAGTACACATTTTATATTTGTAATAGGTGACCATACAATTATTTTAGGAAGTGGGATTTTATATCTGACAATTTGCAACTAAATATATCTAAATTGTCGCTAAAAGAGTTTGTCACTTTACACATGGTATGGATCGGAGAATTCCCCAGAACATTTGTGCGAGACGTTTTTATATAGAAAGTACTCGGGTGACTGGAACAGATTCTAAGAATGCAAATTTTAAACTTTTCCAGTAATGTTGGGCAGTCAACTACACTTTTGATAATTTCATAGGTTCGTACAGCACTATTATATTCGAGACTGAAAAAGTTATACTTTTGTAGCAATTCAGAGTGGGTTGTTCCTATTGTAGGATAAATGCCATCAGTTTTTGGGCTTAGCAGTTTAAAAAATCGTCGTTGAATTGCTTATATTCTATTAATATGATATTGATGAAAGGGACTCCACACAACTGACGCGTATTCTAACTTTGATCTTATGAAAGTATAGAATAGTGTTTTTAAGGTCGAAGTTTATTTATCAAAAAATACTACGCTATTCTCGAACCTTTTATATGTCTCCTCTTTATATTGTCACGATGTTCGTTTTTTTTCAGATTTAGGAATCTTGAAATTTCACCTATGTAACTTTTTCCATTTGAACGAGGTACAATCTACAGGCGGTTCGACGTGGATGCTTTGTTCACTCACTCGAATTGACTGCCGTGTTAGTTGGTGGTTCAAGCCCCAGTTTGAACGATCGATTTCCACTTGCTATCGTCCAATCCGTGTTAGGAATCACACATTAAAAGGTAAGACCTCGTTAATCTATAGCTCGCTCAAGTTTCGTCTTCTGAGGGTTGTCGTTCATAGGGGTGCGACAGCTGGTTAACAGAAAAACAGATTTTTCAAACAGTTGTACTTTTTAGTTTTGTTCGTGTCGAAAGGTGTTGGTAGTTCTGTATCCGATCTGTCTCAATTTTTCGAACAAATCGGGAACAAAAGGTATGACGTTAGTTGTCAGATACGTGTGTTTTTGTTGAAATTGTGATGATTGTGTATAATGTATGTGGGTAACTCTTCATACTGATTTCATTAGGAGTTCCAGATTCGTGTTTTTATCCAATCAGCAGCAAATTCTTTATTGACTCAATTTTATTGACTTTTTTCAGTTGTGGAAGATTGAATACTAAAAAATAGTGGGAATATTACTGGAATGGCTAGTAACAAAAAATGGGGAGTAGTTATTCAATTTGTCAATATCTGTTACAGTTAGGGCACAAGTACATACCTAGATTCGCTGTAAAAAAAATGTATGTGAATTTCAATAAAGAAATTCAGTTCCAGAAATGTTTCCTTTCTTGATTTTTCCATTACCGTGAAATATTAAACATAGGGAGATTATTTTTCGTATTTCCTTTCACATATAGTCAGTGGGCATACTTCAAGACTGGCTTTGAATCAAATCATCTGAAATAACAATCAGTTCAGGCCAGCTCTCCACACTGTAGGTTAATGGACTGACACCTATCCGAATACAACTACTCCCCTGGCTAATACCACGAAGGGTGTTGGATTATATCCGTCAGTGCAGGATTCTTCACTTAAGTTATTCCTGCATATTCTGTTGACGATACAACTGCCGCAATAGATTTTCAATTATTGGAACACACTTGCAGACTATAGACGTGGTCACCGGTTTGAAGAAGAAAAATCCTGCTGAAGAAGGTTCGAGACTAGCATCTAAAGATGTTGGGCAAGCAATATTTTTATCAGAAGGAAGTTGACTAATTATAGTTTCAGCTATAGTGGTGAAAATCGTATTGAATTTATACTGGAGACACCCTACATTTTGTTTTATAAGAGAGACGACATTGTTAGATCAATATCTTCAGATGATGTGGTGCTGCAGGTTTTTCCGGGTTTTCCTGCAGATGAAAAAGCAAATGCGCCACTGGAATCAATGAAGTCGCCCCGGAGCGCCAATTAATTTTTATTGTTGTTTTTATGTTATTTTTATCGTTGTTTTAATAACGTCCTCAATTATTGTAAAAATAGATAATTATTTTGCAGTATAAATTCATATTTCGAAATATTTCGTACCCACTGCAGAAGAGCTAGTTTATTCAGTCAACAATCATAGGAAGCCAAGGCGATATAAGTTTTCTACAACTGTGATTTTTTTCTATAGTGGATTTCATACAGAACAAAAGGGTCAGATCAACAGAGCTACAGATTTCAAACCACATCATTCGATCTTGTAGGCAAATATGAAAAAATTCCACGAAAAGTAATGAAAGCAGCATCTACGTCCAACAACCTGCAATAAATTGGAATCCAGACTTCTGTCGACCTGTGTAAATAAAAAAAACTGTAATAAACGTGGTCCAGCAGCGCGCTGCAAAACGTCCGGTCCAGGCTCCATAAATATTTCACAACGAATCGACAGAGTCCAGCGGCAAACAAAGCGACGTCTTGTAGCGCCGCGACGCGCTTGAATAATGAACCGGTGACCGCTAATTAAGACTGGCCTTTCGGGACGTCCGGACACCTGACAATGAGCGCCGCCGGGATTTATGTTTGCCGAAGTAGGGAGCTCGTTTGGACGCTATTTTCTCGCTTGATTGATCTTCGGAAATATTAAATTTTCACTGGTTGGTCCTTGATGTGGTATCGGGTATTCTGAGAATGCTTGAGTTGGAGCGCTACGAAATTTACCTATTCATTACATGGGAAATGGGGATTATCGAATTCGTTGTGGGGAATGAGAAGTGCTAAATTTATTGGAACTGTTCAATCCCACCTTCAGGCTCATACAATATAATGAGCCTTATGTAGTTCTCGGCCATCAGGGTGTTGAGTTTTCAGCTCCTGACAAGAAAAATCTTGTCCAAGAAGAGGAGTAAAAACGGAGTAGACATCAAAATTTTTTTTTCGAACAACATAGACTCCGTCCAGACCACTTTGTCTGGATGGTTGTTCTGATTATTGGAGTCCTTGGTGGAATAATGCCCTTTCTACCCTTGATTATCGAGATCTTGCTAGTTTGCCGCAATAAGGTAGAAATCTTGGGCGAACTGTCATTCTTGGTTCACTGCTCTTGCTCAAGCGACACAATTTCCGGACCCAGTCATCACCTACTCTACGATGTGAGTTGTGGTCAGTGGTTGATAATGCTAGCGCTCCCCCTGGAATGTATCGGGGCTTCGGGGATTAATGTACAACTCTTGAAGAGGAATATTCACTGAAGTACTGAGTCTACGTATATTCATACCATGGATATTGCATAACTCAGTTGACTCATTGGGAATCCTTCATATTCCACCAGTTTGTTCAGTTCTATGGTGAGGACTCATTATTGACAAGTCCATGAAAAGTACTGAGTATAGGTATGTTCATAATATGGCACCTCATTAGGAATATCCATTTACAATTCTAAGCATTAGAGAAGCATTCAAGAAAAGTCATAGTTTACTCTACGTTATGGTACTTTCAATAACTCAATAATACGAGTTTTGATTTGAAAAACAACAAAAGTTCAGGAAAGTTTGGAAAGAGTCATGAATTTGGATCTAATTCTACTATTCTGCAATGTCGGCATATTTGGAACTTCTGAATATGGAGTCCACACCACAGAACCGGTTGAATATGGATAATTCTCAACAAATTAACTGAGTTATGCAATATAAATATCAACATTTTGCATGCTTTGTCTGTTATAGTATTTATATATGGAATATGAGTTAACTAGCTATCAAAAATGACACTTAGATCCTTGATCTTATCTACTTCTTCCAAAATTCAACCATTCAATTCGTAGCTTGAATATAGAAGGTGTTCAGAATCAGAGAAAGAAATAATAAATCATTTATCCACGTTCAATGCGGTATAAGGTAATTATATATTCATGGTTCCGTGTATATTAATTACCTTCCTGGCTGATACCACGCTGGACACTGAATCATATATGACAAACTTTTACGCAAGATACCCCACAGAGGTTAGCCTTCCAGATGATTCTCGTTCATCCAGCAGCAGGACCATGCTGAAATCAGTCAAGAAAATCACCAACAGACCGGCTTCGAAGTAATGCTTCCCATCACTTCCCCTCAATGGTGAGGTAGTTCCATTTGAAACAGAAGTGAAATATATTGGCATTGATGAAAAAAACTCACCTGGAATGCTCACTTGGAAAAAGTTTTACATAATCATAATCATAATTTATTAGCCCAAGTATGTATAAAGTACATTTAAGGTTGTCATAACAGAGGTATAAGTATATGTATAGAACAATAGTTGTTTACCCTCGAAATAAGAAACGACTCTGTTTTTAAGCAGTTGTTCCAAGATTTTCGAAAAGACTGGTAGTACTGAAATTGGTCTGAACTTATTCAC